AGCTCAACATCACTAACACCAAGGAGTTGGTGGTGGACTCCCCTGTTCCCTGTCTGCATCAAAGGACGTAGAGGTAGGCAACGACTACCAGTACCTGCGAGTCCCCCTGGACAATAGACTGGACTGAAGTACAAGAAATATCATGCTGCAAATGTTACATCATTCCAGCCCAGCATCCTTTAGAATAACTGGACAATTCTGCACCACATGAGTTATAATCCAATGACAAATTTCAGTGCCAATGTCGGAAGTAGTGTGCCCTGCTGTAGGTTGTATGTGGCAAGGTGGAGACTGAGGTGGATGAGCTTGTAGCCAGTCCGACGTTTATCCATTCACTGTAAATGCGACTCTGTATCTTTACACAGAGAATAGTTGTTTGCTGCTACATTCATGTTTTAGGTGTGGTTGGGTTAGGGGTTAGGGTTTAGGGTCTAAAGGGGTTAAATGTCTTTACCTTTAACAATGAATCACATGACCACTTGCATAGGAAAGGTGTCGCTCATATTTACAGACCCAAAGAGAAATATCACCTCACTCTGCAGCTCCCATCAGCTGCATAGTTTTATAAAGACTTTCAGCTCATTATTCTGGCTTCCAGCACTCAACTTTATTGTTTTGTTCCAACCTTGCCGCTCTCACGGTGTCATTTTCAGCCACAGCAGGCAGCTGTGTTCAGCACAAAAGCTGCAAAAACCCCCACTGCACCGTTCCTACTCGACACCAAATGGACAGAGGTAGAGACTAGCTGGTGAACACAGTGGAGAGTTTAGCAGCTAAAGAGACAGATATTTCCCTCAGGTGTTGGTGGAGATCAAATTAGAGCCTAAAACACAAATTAATGCTAATGTTGCTCCATATCTGCCGGATGTGGAAACAGGCAACTGTTTGGTAACAAATATCAACTTCAATGGGGATAATATGCCAATGTTGTGTCAAGAACTTGTTTCCACTGCACCCAAGTGACTAAAAATGTAGCTTTAGCCAAGTGTTGTAGTTGCTTAAGAGTAACAATAGTTTATACAATCTCAACTGTGCTGTATTTACGTTACTTTACGCTTTAAAATCGTTGATACTGGTGATTAAAATCCATTTGTATCGATGCAGGTTTTGCAGAATCGCTCAGTATCGATGTTCTTGTCTGACGACAGTCTTGTTCTACGCTGTGATGTGCAGCGGCAGCAGACTGAGAGCAGCTGACAGCGACAGAATCAAGACACTTCGACATCAGGAAGGCTGGCTGTGTCCTGAGGGTGGGAGGAGCAGATGGATTCTCTGGTGGAGGTGTGAAAGAGGCGACCGCTGCCCGAGCTACAGAGCATCGTGGACATGGATTGATTGACATGCACTGGTGCAGATGTTCGCTGTCCCCAGAGGAGGAATCATGCTGCCTTTTTATTTATCCCATTAGAAGGTGTTTAAAATGAAACAGATCTGTGAGTTTGAAAGAATATCAGACGTCAAAACACAACATAGTGCTTCATAATATTATAAGGAGGGATTTTTATTGCTTTGGAAAGTTTTAATTTATACTTATTTGAGCTGAGTTCAGTCCCTTCCTCGTGTGCGTGATGTTTCTTTTCCCTGTTGATTTATTTCTATTTAAATTGTAACTGGTGTTCTGTCTTGGCCGGGTCTCCCTCGGAAAAGAGATTTCAATCTCAAGGGACTTCCTGATTAAATGAAGGTTACATAAATAAATAAATAGATAAACACATAAATAAAATGTTACAAAATAATCCACCAGGAATGTGTGATGGCAGCAAAGCCAGGTTCGACTTTTTATCTAACGACACTGCGTTTTGTCTGCCCTCTTTGTTGGCCTTGCAACAACAAAGTGGTCCCATTCAATCGGATCCAAGAGAGGGAGCTCCGTTTCTAAACGTCGGTCTGAACGCAGCCTTCTTGAAGGCCTTTACACACCGGGGGACGAGGCGAATATACGACATATCGCATCAAAACTATTCATATTGAATATTTGCGATGCAGATTTGAAAAGCGTTTAGCCCGAGTAGCTCAACTTGTAGAGTGGTGACTCATGTGCTAATGCTTACCAAAGCGTTCCAGGTTCAGTTCCAACCTGTGGCCCATCGCTGCATGTCGTCCCCCCTTCTCTCTCCTTCCCCCCAAGTTTCCTGACTATCTTCAGCCGTCACTTTCCAAATAAAGGCACAAAAAAGCCCCAAAAATAGTTGGAAAATAAATGAATAAATAAACGAAATCCCCCACACACACCACGGACCAAGCAGCCACTTGCAGAGCTCCCAGCGGCGGATAGAGGGGTCGGGGTCGCATTCACCGGGTCCATCTCAGTTGCCCGTACCTGGGCTGTATTAATACGTTAAAACATCAAACTAATGAAGGCAGCGCTTTGTGCGGGCTTTAAAGAGAGCATAGACGGAGCAGTCGGTGCAGAGGCGTCATCCCAAGTCACTTTCTATCACTTTGGCCTGTGTGTGAATTTTAGTGTCAGTTCAGAAGGGTTCATCTGAGCGTGTGTCAATATGTGCATGTTCATCATATGTGTAGGCCTCGATGTGGCAGCGTGTGGTGTTACTCAACACTCATACATCAGTAATATAGCGTGTCTGTTTCAGTGCATGTGCCCAGCCTCCCCCTACGCGTGCCTGGAAGTTATGGCCCCTCCGTGTTCAGATGTGATCCGTGGTCCGTGGGATGCACGTTACACAATGATTTGTTAACTGCCCTCGTCGCAGCAGTTGGCTCGCTGCTGGGCAATTAACGACTCAGGGTTAAAGTGTCACTGCTAATTAAACTTCACAAATGCACACGAAAAAGATTTAAAGGTCTCGTGTGTGACATTTAGGAGGATCTATTGGCAGAAATGGGATATAATATTGATAGGTGTGTTTTCATTAGTGTTTAATCACCTGAAAATAAGAATTGTTGTGTTTTTGTCACTTTAGAATGAGACGTTTTTACATTTCTGCAATACAGCTTGGTTGAGGCGAGTGGTTTTCAGTTGGTTGCAATCTGCAACTTCACCACTAGATGCCACTAAATCTTACAAACGAGTCCTTTAATTGTTTGTTTTCTGTTGTTTTACCTCCATCCACATTTTGATTTAATACTTTACAGCTGTGAACATGTCCTCCACTTTATTGATGCAATGCCTTGTGGGAAAATAGCATCCATTAACAGTGAATTAATTTTGTTAGCGTGCATACTTTACCACTTTTCCAGCGTGAACACACTCCATACTCAAACCTGCTTCTAATTAGTATGTAGTATGAAACTAGGACACACTCTATAGCAGTGGTTCTCAACCTTTTTGGTGTCAACAATCCCCAGATTTATTCACAACAGGCCACGGACCCGAATTTGTTAAGATGTGGTCTCAGGCAGTTATTCCATAACTGAAAAGTCAGTCTTACATTCTGTCATTGGACTTTTATTCAGTGAAATAATAGTGAAATTAAAATATTCTCCATGTTTCTGGGGACCACTAAGGACCCGTGGAGGTCTGCAGACCCAAGATTGAGAACCACTGCTCTATAGGAGGAAAATAAACAGCTGTATGACACCAATAAGCTGTTGTCATTATTAAAACACTAAATGGAAACTGATGGCAAGTAGTATCAGTGACATACATTATGCCTTCACAGAGCTTTAGTAGGTCGAGGTGTGGCCTCATTGTCTGCATTCTCCTTTACGCTTCTATATTTGGAGAACATGTCACACAGCCTGCAGTAATCTTCCAGTCAGGGAGGAGCTCAGCTCTAAATTAGTGGTTTTCAAACTCATTCCAAATGACTTTTAAGTAAAAGATTTAAGCTCCTCACCAAAAGTAAAAGTGAGGGTGCGATATATTATTCAAGTGTAGAAAACAAGCTCTTAACTGGGCTCCCCACTCGTATATTAAGCCTCTTATTTCAAACACTTCCTCACCGAAATTTCACGACTGTGCTAAGTCTATGAGGATTACAGGTTATCCAAGAGATCGGGTATCCAGGAGGACAAAGCCAAAGGCAAATGTCAGACCACGTAGGGGTTTATCGCTCATGACAGTCATTGAGCCAGAAGTTTGCTCTGGAAGGAAGTGGGTGGAGATGAAGAACATCTCGGGTGACTTTAAGACATCAGTAAAGGTTGAGATTGTGTGAAGGAGTGGCTGCTTTATTTTAAAATAAACAGCATATATTGTATGAAATTTAACCTGACTGACCACCCCTTTATCCTAACCTATGATTGCGAGGCGGGGACCTGAGTTCGAAGCAACTGTTCAACGAGTAAAGCAGACTTTAAACCGGATAATGAACCAGTTATAAGAACGTTTGGGTGCATCTAGAGTTGACTTTTAAATAGTCTAATAGTCATATTTTCATCACTGCAGGAGAGACGCTTTCCTAAAATGTTTTCATCCAATGTATGTGAAGAAAGCAGGGAAGGCTGGCGTCACGAGCTGTGCAGATTTAAGCAGAATATAATGGAAACTTTACCACAAAGAAATGGAAATGCAGCCACAACAAAGACTGAGAAACTGAAGCCGGTGGAAGGCGACTATTGCATAAGACCATAAGAAGTGTGACACTTAAAGCTTCCCTTTCATGTTGTCTGTATTTACTCCGGGGAGGTTTGGAAAGTGGCATTTAAATAAAATATCTCTCAGTCATTCACATGCTAAAGGCCTAACCTGTGAGCTGTGTAGTCTATTGTGTGCGACCAGGAGAAAAGCGTATCTTTCGACATTAAATCGAGATTTTAGACGACATACTCTGGGATCTGGTCAACATATAAGTGGGAATGATCACAGTTTTCATTATCACTGAAAAAACAACAAATGATGGGACATTTATTGGTGTTTTCTTACATCTGGAGAACAGGATTTGTAGTCCAGAGAAGCTCTGCAGCCCTACAGTTCTTCATTATAATGCAGTTTCAGCTTTGTGCTTTTGGCCATGTTGCAGTTCATTGTGCAGCTCTACTTTCCACCAACTTTTCTTGCTAAAAATTGACGCCTCCTACTCTTAGTCTTGGCCCACATTGATGCATGACAGCTGGACGTTATTCACACGCCTCACAATGAGGCTTTAAAGCTTCAAATCGTGTAGGTTTGCAGCATTTGTCTGACCACACCCTGAGGAATGCCAGTGGATACTGATCAGACTCTAAACAGCTCCTTTACCTTCTTCTGTTTCTGTATGATTTGACCTGATGAGCAGTTATGGATGGGGTGATCAGAGGGAAACCTGAGCTCTCTGGTGTTGGTGATACATAGACTATATTTGAAGAAGGGGAAGATAAAAAAAAAAACCCCAGCACAGCCCTGCCAGCTGACTGCTATACGGGACCTTTAATGCAGCTGCAGCTCTTCATTCAGATGCTGAGTGGAGCAGCGGATGACCGGAGGAGGGACCGCTTTTTCTAGGAAAACCAGCCCACAATCTTTAGTCTGATCGCGTTTTTTAAACCCCCCACTTTGACTCATCCTGAAGGATTTGCCTTGCATTTAGCGGAGGGGGAGCGCGGTGCCTGGATGCGGGACTGAGCGGATTGCGGCAATCACAGCGTCCTGAGTGATCGGAGCTCAGCAGCAGCATCACATTGTATGAAATGCGTCACCGTGATCCAGTTTCCCCATTTACAAACATCAGCTCCCCGCTCACGGACTGTTCCCCGCACTGACCGTTTCACCAGGTAAGGACTGCTCTTTTATTCCAACGCTCAGGTTTAACATTTGATCAGAGGCAGACTTTATCCTCCTTCACAACCCCTCGTCCTAAAAAACGCTGCTGCGTGGAGTGCGGGGAAGGATGGACCCTGTTAGGGATGGCTACATCTTGGAGGCCTGTACATTACAATAGATGATGTATTGTCCCGATTCCCACCTCATCTCACATTCATAGTGTTTTCAGACGCAGCACGCGCTCCATTAGAGGCTGGCAGCTCTTATTTAACACGCTGATTTAGAGCCAACGCTTCTCATGTTAATTGCCCCAGGCTTATTAATGCACCCCGGAGCCGTTAATGAGCGCTGGTGGTGGGGGTGGGGGTGGGGTGGGGAGGGGGGTGGGGGGGTCTGATTGCACTGATAGGCAGCCTCCTGGTCTGGAGCGGGGGGGTCTCATGTGTCTGTCTTTTCGGTGCAGGTAACCACATGCGCGGGCCGGTGTCACCGCGCTGAGCCCGGAGAGGAGAGCACGAAGGGTACCGGGGGGGTCAGAGACACAAGAGTGGACCGGATGACAGCCAGAACCTCGGAGGCCTCGGGACTGTCGGTGCCGCTGCGCCGCTGTCACGGGGTCCTCCAGGCCAACAACGGCACCTGCGCGGAGCAGCTCAGCATCTTTCCGCCGTTCTCCTCCGCCCTCGCGCTCCTCGTGCTGGTGGCCGTGCTCGTGGGGATCATCCTCGTTTCCCTGGCAACCTTCCACTTCCACAAGAGGAAGCTCCGGAACAGGAAGATCCAGCGCGCGCAGGAGGAATACGAGCGCGACAGTCGCAGCCCGGCGCGCGGCGGCCCCGGGGCGAGCGGGGAGCCCGCGAGGCCGTGCGTCATCATCCGACCGGTGAAATGCGAGGAGAAGCTCTCGTGCCAGAGCGCGGGGAGCGCGGAGGAGGCGGCGGAGGAGGCGGCGGAGGAGGCGCAGCACCAGACGGTTCCTCTTGACTGTTAACTCAGAGCAACTTCAGGGAACGAGACTGTGGAATAAACAGGAAAAGCAATAAGGCACAAAGAACTCCCACACCCATCTCTGCTGCTTGTAGGGTTAGAATAACGCAGAATACTGAGCAGAATAGTAGGCCTAGAGGTAACATAGGGCCGCACACACACACACACACACACACACACACACACACTAGTATTTAGCCAACTGGTAACTCCTTATGGGACTGTATAAAGTATTTGCCTGCTTTGACTTTTGGACCTCTTCCTCTTCCTTAATAAAAAAAACAAAAAAAAAGATATCTTCCCTGGGATGTGACACACGGTTGTGTTGGGTAGTTTAAAGAGCTGGAGACACAACACAGACCATAATGGCTCGCTGATCTTCCTTGGCATGTCCTTCCGACACACTACCAGTATGTAGTTAGACTATAATGGATGTTGTGGTGCTGTTAGGCAGTGCAATGCTGCATATAGGCTGTAGAAAAAATGGCTTATTTGTATGCGTAGTAATTTTTTCCTTGACTTAAGTGACTTAGCATATTTGCATAAAGTACTGTCCTCCAATGTCTGTTAGACATCTGTAGGTTTAGCTCTAGTTAGCCTGACAGGATGCAAGACTTATTTGCTGTAGTTATGCACATAAGAGTTTCCTTTAATGTGTCAGATAGTTAGAAGTTTTAGCGCTAAATAAACAGTATTTTCATTTTTCAGTATTTATAATGTATTCTCTCTCTGACATGTAATAACTTGAGAATCCTTCCAAGAGAGGGTTTTAAGTTTAAGCCAGTCTTATTCTCTCTCTCTCTCTTTTTTGTTTTTGTTTTTTGAGCCTTCATATTGTATCATAGTGGGCCTAATAGAAATGTGATTTATGATATCAATTCACTGTAAATGTATGCCATTATGAGAGCTGGAATGTTTTACAGTAACAAATCATCTTTCTGGAGTTCATATAACCTGCCTTATCAAAAAGGAAAATATGTAATATCCAAAGTTTATAAATAAATACTTTATGTTAATCCTTTGACTGTGTCAGTAACCTTTGGCCATTAGCGAGGGATGGATTATCCACGAGGAGGTGGCACACAATCAATCACATATATTCAGTTTAACTTTTATTTTTAGACTCAGGTTAACATAAAAACAACCAAATACAACACACAGACGACAACTTAAAGATATTAAATCATTGCAGGTCACAATATTTGCTCAGACGCTCATAAACATTACATTAATGTGGATGTTGAAAGGTCACAAATCAATCAATTTTAAATCCAAATAGTCTTTTTGTATTGAACATAAGCCAATCAATGTGGCCATAACAGATTATTAACTTTTATGTGTTCATTTATGCTTTTAAACACGTTATGTGTTTAATTTGATCAAACTGGGGGGGCAAACAAACAAAAATTAACAACAATAAATAAAAAATTGCAGGATTAAAACTGAATACAATAGAAACAATAAAATGTAAAACATCAGTAAATGATGTTGAGCTATATGTCATGAAACTACAGTGAGTTTATTCTGACTGGAACAAGTTGACTTCAATTTCTTATGAATTAGACAAAAAAATTACTTATTATTTACTTACTTATTTTTTCTTGCATTTTTAAATAGAAAACAAACATTTTAGGGCACATCAATCCCCCAAAAAACCTGCGAAATCCTGGCGGGACTGAATACGTTTTTCCTTTTTATTGTAAAACTGAAACCTGCATCTTTGTGCCTCCATACAGCGACTGGCACAAGTAACGTAGGACATCGAAAAAGCAAAGTCAAAAACAAAAAGCGCCCTCTGCTGTTTAAAAAGAGTCTCAAGATTCAATTTTTATCGCACCGATTTTGAATCTTCACATATTTGTATATCGGATCTACTGGCAGAAATTAAATATAAGGTGATATAATATAAGAATATACAGATTTTATTGATCAAGAAACAACACAATAGAAAACACACATTAAATAATGTATTTTAATATAAGTAATAATAAGTGTTTTTCTTCAGACGCTGCGGGTCACCTTCACTGGAGTCCGCCATGTTTCTACAGTAGCCCAGAAAACAAAAACTGGCTCTATTTTACGCTTTTTACATGTTTCACAGCCACCGTAGTTTCTCCATCGCACTCAGGGTGAAGCGAGTGAGTTGCGATCTGTAACTACAATGCTAGACGGCACTAAATCCGACACACTGGACCTCTAACTGTCTCACAATATGTCATTACACCACCTGCCATCAAGGAAATGTTCAGCTACATTAAATTGACTAGTAAAACTTCCAACCCTTCACCCAATATAAGAGGTGACATTTTCATTACATCACCCGTTCGAGCAGACAATAAAAATGACCTTCCAGAGGGAGATCCAGAGTCTGCTGCACTACACACAGTCCAGGCTACATAAGACCGTGTTAACCACACGTACTGAACCACGTCTGTCGCTACAATAAAATCAAATCAGTGTGATTGACATGAAGGTTATCCATACAAGTGCCATTCTTTAATCTCAACGTATCCCTGTAACGGCGAAGCCCCAGCCTTGTCTCATTGGAGGTCAGTGGAAGTGAATCAGCATCAGTCGGAGCGTTGGCCGGGTACCAGGACACCATGTTCCTAATTGTCCCCGGCAAGAAAAGGCCTGGGAATATGAAGCAGTCTTTTGGCGAGACTCCAGCCCTGGAAGATGCACTGACAGACTGCCCGTCTATCTTATCTCATTGGCATAAGTGCAACAGAACGAAACCATTTATCTTCGCAGGGGAATTTGGACGTAAGCCGGTGAAAGATGACTAATGCATTCTGCATTCAAACATACGCTCGCTTCGGAGCAATTCATAGATGAGGACGCAGGACCTCGTACGTGCTTAAAGCATAAAACAAAAAGCATTTTAATGGAACGGCACTGTAATAAAGGAGACGTGGATTTCTTGTAGAGGATGTAATTAGAACGAATAGATGAAGGTCGGTGGTCAGTGGTTGGGGATGGATGAGGTGAGGGAGGTCAGGTGGAGATGAATTAGGACTGCTGTTATTTATTGTCACACATATAGAGCTGCGTTAGAAAGGGAGACACAGAGGGAGATACTTTAGTGGGATATAGGTTTGCTCTGGGAATAGCCTAGTTATTGTGTTTTTAGCCTCATTTAGAATTAATGAGGCCAGTTTTCAGGTGTTTGTCGTCCCAGGGGTTCAGATAGACTTTGTGAGGGAAGTCAGTTGGCCAGAGAGTGGATTATGTCCTCCGAGGCTGTTTATTATTATAACGTTATTATGATTGTGTGTAATGTGTGTGTCGCCTCAGGGAACTGGTCTACGGTTGGTACAACTTTAAGTACGACCGCATTTATCTAACAGGAAGATTTTGTTTTAAAATTGGTGAATGTTTGTGCTCCCAAGTGAAAATAAAATGGTTTTACTCACTTACTTTAAAGGTTATATATGAGATTTAAAACATTAATATAGAAGCAAACTTATTAATTAAGGGATTTATTTCCAACAAACCAGAGTTGGGGATTTTTATTCTGTTTATTTCCAGTTTGAAGTGCATTTAATGATTATCCTTATTAGGTAAAATTACTTGTTTTGTCAATGGAGTCTGGTCAGCTGTAGCACTCATTGTTTTGGTCTGAGATGCTGGTGATCTGATGCATTAGATTATTATTGTATTATACTGTTATATTAATTTATAACAAAAAGACACAGGGCTTCTACCAATAATTATATATAAATAAAACGTATTTTGTAGATGCAAAGATGTTAGAAACAATCCCGAGTTAGTCCCAGATTGTATCTGATGCACATTTTAAACTTGGTAGGATCTGTGAATCTTATCATCAAGGACCAGGAAGGTGCAGGAGAATCAGACTGAGTGAGTCATGCTGATTTGGGCGTCCCCCCAAGAAGTGGAAGAACTCAACTGAAGTTGTTCCTACAAGGCCTGGCAAGTAAACTACTGGGTGCAGTAATTAGTGGGTTTCCGGTGGCACTCAATATAAAATTAACACCCTGCCAGCAGCCTGCCAACCTCCCCGCTGTGGAGACTCCAAAAGGGCCAAACTTTAGCAAAAGCAGCATTAAAAAACCCCAGAACCACAGTCCACATTTTACAGCATTCACTCACATCTTTCTCATATTGATGCGAGTTTGCCCTCGACTTTACAGCTCGCTCTGATTATTCCACCGAGCTGCATTAGCAGATTGGCTCTGCGCTCTGGAGCGATGACAAGTGACAGTTCACTGTCAGGAGGAGAGGACACCACTGCTCCTGTTCTCACCCCTGCTGTCAGGGTTCGAGGTGGATGATTTGTCACCACCAGTGTCTGTTTATAGGCTTCATTACTGCAGGTTCAAGCTGCGGCTGCGAGGGGAAGCAGAACCAGGAACTCAGACAAGTACCTGTAGGTGAAAGACGGAATAACAGATCAGCCCTGTTCAGAGCTTGAATCACCTTTCTATAGTGAGAGATGTACTTCTTGTTGGAGCTATTGAACATCTTCTACCATCGGATACATTCACAGTTGATCTCCCATTATATTCCCCAGTATATTCAGCCATTGCTAACCTCAGTGTGGCTCCAGGAATGGTTATGTCTGTGTGTCTGTCACTTTGATCTAGACTGAAACATCTCAGCAACTGTTTGATGGATTAAGATGGACATCGATGGTTCCTGGAGGATGAATCCTAAGGACTTTGCTGTCGTCTTGGCTGTCAATAGTAAATGATTACAATGTTGTATGGAAGAAGACTTGAAGCTAGCGATTGAGACTCGGTTTGGGAACATACAATATCACTGTGTGCTATAAAAAAAACACGTTCATCCTCACATGGCTTCACTTGAAAAACCTGTCTAGCTCACCAGCACACATCATCTCTAATCCTAATCCCGTCACCATGACTAAAGGCATAATAAATAAATAAATAAATAACAAACAGAGGGATGAAGTTTTTCTTTAAAAAAAGTAAGGTGAAGTTATTCCAGTATGTTTTAGGACCATTTTAAAGGTTTAATTTAAGTATATTATCGTGATTATCGTGATAATATCGTGTACCACAATTATTCTGGCCTGAGATAATCGTGAAATTAGGTTTTCATTTACCTAATTGAGACCATAAACTCATCAGGAAATTGTTTACTGAGCTAATAAATCAAGTGAGAAGTCGGCTTATTTCTCCATAAGACTCAATACTAACTGACTTTTTTTGCAGCCTGTGGAGTCGCCCCCTGAAAAAATGCACTTTTAAGACATTTCTGCTTTGGTTTCACTTCACACACCCGTAAAGATCTGTGCAACAAATCATAAACCGTCAGTGGTTTTCACCCTGATTGGATCTTTGGATCGCTGTGCCCTGTGTTGGGTGTAAGATGGCCACCGCTGAAGGTTCCTGAAGCGGAGAGGAGCTTTAAGCTGAGATACCTGATGGATGGGGCTGCAGCTCGCCTCGCGTTCCTGCAGATTTATGGCTGCCTGGCTTCATGTCCTGTATAGTAATCCATTTGTGGGACACTGCATCATTTTCCTGACAGCTGAATTTGGGTTCTGTGTGACTGCTCACCTTCGTTTAAAAAGCACAAAGACTCGCAACATCACACCCTGTGCAAAGGACAGTGACATTTTTCCTAATAAGACTGTTATGTAATGTTACGTAACGGGTGCAGTGTCCCTACATGTGATCCAGAGAGGTGAATTCTGGTCCTCCCAGATCTTTCAGTAATGTTTTTAGGTCTATTTGTAACAATGAATAACCTTGGCAGCCCTAGAAACCTACTTATGGTCAGTGACACATTTAATTTTTAACAGATTCTCACTTTATTCTATATTTTTCTTGTGAGTAAAATCCACTAAAGACCAGAACTGATCCTGCCATAGACTTCCATTGTTGGCCTAAAAGACTTTGCTATCTTCTTGTAGTCTTCTCCTGCATTGTGGCCATCAGAGGTTTTCATTTTCAGAGTCTTCCACAGCTGCTTAGAGCCGTGGTTCGCAGCCTTTTCCCTTCACAGAGCCCTTTTTCTATCATTTAGTAAACTGACTAAATTAAATATTTTATGAATATTTCTTTTTATATTCAAAACTGTGCAATGAACCCAAACAGTGAACTCAGTAACTGCAGGACGTTTGTGTAAAACGAGTGATTTGGATGGATTTTGAGCAGATTATTTCCTGTTTATGGAACTTTTTATACAAATTATCTGCCTGTATTTTGCATTTTTGATCATTTTTAACAATCATACAGACTTAATAGGCTTCTTTCTCTTGTCCCTGATGTCAATATTTTGCTATTATACTTTTCTTCACAGCAGTGAACCAAATGCTGAGATTTAGCCCTGTTGTGTCTATTTTCTTAAACTTCTCTTAAATACCTTAGAAACAAGGTCTCGCAATGAAGCTCTGGTGACCCCAAGCCTCGACCCACAGGTTGGGAACCACTGGCTAAGAGGAACCCTGTGAGGGTGCCCAAACGTTTGCACATACAATAATGATGTTTTTATTTTTATTTTTTGTCCAAGGTGTATTTACATCTTCTGAACTCAAAAAATCACCAAAATGTATTATTTATCAAAAGGTGCCCAAAGTTTCATATATAACTGTGCTTTTGTTTATCCTGTAGCAGGTGAAACTCAAGTTTAAAGTGAATCCCAGGAAGGTTTTTCCCTAAAAACAGTGTTAGTCTGATCCTGGGAGAACCAGTTCAAGGGTCGAAGATACAACTGAGAACACTAAAATCATGTTCTAAGTATTTTTCCTGGGAAATTTGGGGGGTTTTAGCAACCTTCTGGTATTTTTAGACATTATATATCCACATTTTGACGACTTTCAGGCTATATTTTTATTTTATCTTCTGTCTGTATGTTGGATGGACCTGTGGGGCACGACTGTGAGCTTCGACTGGGTTAACAATGTCTTTTTACATTTCACTAATATTTCTTATAAATGTTCAATAAGATGAACCTGATGAGAGAATTGTTCTGAAACGGGAGCAGAGCTTTGATTGATTTCCAGGAAGAGAATTTATTGTTTTCTTTCTAATCAACATCAGTCACACATTAGAAAAATAATCCATATGAATTAACTTCCCACACAGGTTATTAACACGTATATTAATATCTCACTGGAACATATTATCCGAAGTACGGACAGTAGAAAACTGAACAGACGACCACACAGCCTCTTTTAAAAAAAGGAAATGAACAATTCAACCGCAGTGTCCACTTTACATTTTCCCTCCTCCCTCTTTCTTCTGTTTGGGTTTCTTCTTTTTCTTCTTGGCCGGCGTGCTGTCGGACTGCGTCTTGCTCTTCTTGGCCGGGTTCGGCTGAGAGGCGGTCGCGCCGTCGGCCGGTCGTTTCTGTTTAGCTTTCTTGTCGTGTTTCTTTTTGGCTTGTCCTTTGGCTGCTCCCGGTTTGTCCGCAGAGGTCAAGTTGTCTCCCGCCGGCTCTAAAACAGGCTGCAGGCGCTTTTTACGCTTTTTTGTTTCAGGCAGAAATCCTTTCTTCTTTTTGGGCGCCTGCTGTTGGTCGGCGTCCTTGTCGGGTTTCTTCTTTTCTACTTTGGGTTTTCTGCGAATGTGAACAACAAACCCAAGGTCAACATGACGGCTTCAAAACGCTGTAAAATAAACCTTCTTGTTATATATAAATCCTTTGGTAAAGTGGTTCTCTGTGATTATAATCTATTCATTCATTATGTTAATTCATTAATTAAACATTAAAGGAGGAAATAAATGGATTAAATCTGTGGTTTCTGTAACAGTCAGTATAAAAGGCCTTTAATAAAACTACTTTAAAACAGACACATATCACATAAAGCCATCTACTTAACCATTTTATATAGAGTAATGTTTATTTATTGGTTATATTATTACATTTATTACAGGTATTTGCTCATGGTGGGAACTGTTGGGTTTTATTTATGTTATAATTTGGTGCTATATAAATTAAATTTGTTTCACAGTTACCAAAACTGAATAGTGATTTACAAAAACAAAAAAACAAGCGTCAGCCAATATGAAATTAACAGAAACGTGCAGTTCCTCTAACGGCCACTAGAGGCTGGCTCCAGCAGTGAGTCAATCTCCATAAGGCCTCATATTAAAATAAAACTTTACAGCAGAAATAAACACGTTTCCAGCCTGATACAAACAACAGTTCTAGTCTCTAGAGTTAATTTCCCCGTTGATGTCGACTGTACGGAGGGGGAATTTTTATACAACTCTCCTGTTTAAATCATATTAAGGCTTAAAGTTATGTATATTTTCAGTAACCAGGCTTCATTTAGCTCCACCTCTTCGCTCATTTCTGGATTAGCCGGTACCCGGCGGAGTCAGGACTGCCAAGACTGCGGCAGCCAGAGCCGACCACACTGAGCTTCACGACGGCTCTACAGAAACTTTAAATAAACAGTCTGTCGCCAATACTGACTCTTTTTATAGCAGCTGGTACAGCCTATTATAGATCAGTTAGTTTGGCTGTTTTATAGTGTATTAGTGTATTGGGATCTCCTCCAGGACAACAATACACACATACACACATGGTTTTTGCCATCAAAGCATTACTCCCAATCTGCCAATCGCATATTTTTGACTTGAAGTCGGCCAATAATCGGCACTAAGTGATGTTTAAAAGTAAATATTTCTGTATTTCTCCTTCAGTCGTTTTCTTTTTGAACACGAGAGATTTCATAGAAGGATCAGAGCATTCAGTATTCGTTATGTGTACGCAAACGCCACAAGAGAATCATCTCTCAACATAGACACCACAACAACTCACATGACTCCGAAGTGTTTCACCACGGCCCAGTAGGTGTCCTCTAGCTTGCCGGTCTTCTTGAAAGCGATGACGCCGGTCAGGGACTGCAGGACCTTCTGAAGGGGCTCCAGGTCCACAGACACCTTCTACACAGGAAGCAGAGACTTGAGTCTGGACCAGAAAACCACATCAACAGCTCCCTCTCATGACTGCATCCTCACACTCAACCGGCCACCTACCTGCTGGTGGACGTGTTTGACCAGGAACTGACAGAGCTCCAGCGTCTTCACCACCTTCTCCTTCACCACCTTGCTCTCAGTCTCACCCACCTGCTGGAGACTCTGAGGGGAGAAGACACAGAGGGTGAGACAGCTGTCTGTGATACAGTGGTTCACAAACTTTCTCATGTCAAGGACCCCCCATAAAAGATGCACATTAAACCACATACTCCCCCAATGTGAGGGGATTTTGCCTTAAGGAATCCTCTCTTAATAAATGTTATGTAATAGGTTTCAAGTCGTCAGTCAATCAATAATCAAATAATCAAACAGGGATCACAGCCAACTTCCCTCGTTCCAACTTCCAAAAACTAAAGGTAAAAGTTCAAATATTTTATTCCTCCTCTTGCTAAACACTATATTACTGTGTGTTATAAACAATTTAATATACTTTTATACACTAGAGCTGCAACGATAAGTCGATTAGTTGTCAACTATTCATTATTAATTATAGTTATTATTATTATTTAAATTAATCACCAACTATTTTGATGATAGATTAACTGTTTTGAGTTATTATTTAAAGAAAAAAAATGTCCAAATTCTCTAATTTCAGCTTCTCAAATGTGTATATTTTATTTAGTTTACTCCTCTATGACAGTAAACTGAATATCTTTGGGTTGTGATGAATCATTTTTTAGAATTTTCTGACATTTTATGAACCAAACAGCCAATCGATTAAAGCAGCAACAAGGGACTTTCATTTAGTGTTGATTCTGGCGCCCCCCCTGTGGACAACCGTGGTAGTGTTTACTGCCTCCTTTCATTGATTTCAATGGGAATCCGACCCGGTGGCATTAGACATTAAGAATAAATAAAAATCTTTTTTTTTCACTGGTTTTGTTTGTTTATGAAGATCATACAGAAGGCATTAGTATTAAACAAATTACTCGATTATGAAAATAATCTTTAGTTTCAGCCCTATTATATACTGCTAATAAATATAAAACTCTTTTAAATGAATATATTTATGAAACCACACTCCCCAGTAGTTTATTTATGCCCAAACGGCCATTAACGTCATAGAGGAGGCTGTTTTAGGCTCTTCGTAGCGACCTTATGTTCTTCTAAAACTCAAATCTAGTCAAAAACCAGTTCAAACCAAGAAACAGAGACACCCTAAGGTCTTTACGATCTTTACGATGGGATAGTCTGCTTCTGAGTTATTCAACAGATTATTTAAAATTGATTCAGCGAAAGTGGTAGAAAATCACCACAGTTTGTGTCAGAAAGTCAAACTGCTTCGATGAAACTGGTTTTATCACACGTTTAATTAACAAAGCTCGATAACGGAGCTCGGAAAACTGACGTTACGTCTTATTAACGACACATTTCTGGCAACTGGATTTAAAAATCGTACAGAGGAGCCGTGCTGTTCGGATAGAGAAGATAATGCAGATGAGGTGGTTTGGTGAAGAATTACAGAAGCATGTAATTACCAGTATGCACGTCTTTACCCTCAGCTGTCCCGAAGACACATAGAGGACGCTGAGTGCAGCATCGGCTCTAATCATCATTCATCACAGCGCGATGCAACTTCATAAACCTTCTGGAACAATATAATTAAAATACGCACAAGCCTAAAGGATGTCGGTGGATGAACGTCTTCGTACTGGTGGAGATCAGTTACAGCCTCATGCCGGTTTACACACAGAGAACGATTTATAATCAGATTAGAGATTTACAGAATTTAAACTGGGAAAAAGAAACCACTGGTATTGAACCGTCCAGAGTCTTGTAATGTAATAAATAAAACTCAATTATCTCTCCTGGGCGATAAAACAGCAGCACTATGTATCATCGCCGTTAACCCTGTCGATGTGGATTGTTGTTGACCTACCGCTGCCAGCTGACCCGTGACCTTCGCACAGAGCTCCGCCCACCGATCGCCGCTCAGCAGCTGCTGGACTTCCCTGCTCTGCATCGCCCGCAACACCAGCACACAGGCTTGACCCTAAAACACACACACACACACACACACACACACACACACACACACACACACACACACACACACACACACAATATAGATATATAAAACAATGTGCATGATCAGGAATGTTACAGAGGTTATAACTGACGGTCTAACAGGGAGGAGGTTCTCCTTTAAACTTCAATAAAAACTGATTAGTTTAGGTCGAGGGTTAGAACTGTTTACTGAGGTTTGATTTGATGGACCAGAGTCCAACCCACATACAGCTGATTGTATCAGAGATATATCCATATTACAGTATATACAGTATATAAGGACAATACAGTGAGATCATTTTAACCTAATAACAGAAGTCTCCTGAAGACGAAGGTTTGAGGTGAAGCTGTAGGTTGTGTCATTAAGTAAACTGACATATTTTATGGATATATTTAATATTATATTCAATGTATATATGTGTGTGTGTATATATAGAATAACAGTAGAGAACAGCTGATGAGCTGCACAATGAACCCAAACAGTGAGTGTGAATCTTTACCTGTTGGTGAACTCTGACCCCGGATGTGATGTGCTGCACTGCTGCATCCAACAGGCTCACACACAAAACCTGGAAAACAACAAACAATCTGCATCAGTTCCGCGCTCAAATTAGCATCTCCTGTTTCCACGGTGACGTGAGTCGGCTCCTGGTGTGCGTCCGTACTCACCGGGAATCTGTTGAACAAGTCTGTGAACATCTGAGCGGTCAGAGGACTCTTCCTCTTGCTCATGAAGGAGCTGAGAGCCTCTCTGAAGACGGCCGAGACCCGATCCACGTCCACGTTGCCCATGAACCTCAACTGCACACACACACACACAATAAATAAATAAATCTGGCCCCATCAGTCACTTAATGGACTCACAATCAGCACATTATGAGACTAAAAACAGGCCAATATTTGTGGCTCTACGGTCGCCATCAGTCCACCACATCTCAAAAACTTTTCTTTACAGTCACGTTACCCAGAGAATGAAATCTACTGACTTTAGTAAAACCCTGACTCTTCCTGTAGCGCCACCATGAGGTTGACATGTGGTTTTTGAATGAAACGTTTGAACTATTGGACGGATATAAAAACTATAAAAGCTATAAAATTTGGTGCAAACATTCACAGCATCCTCCTGCAGCCGTATGTTGGTACAGACAGCTATATGAACCATACTGTATGTAATATGTGTACTGCTGGAACTCTTAACATATCAGGACTGAAACTAACAGTTGTTTTCATTCTTAATAAATCTGTTGATTAATTGCAGATCTATAAAAGATCCATCACAATCTCCCAGAGGCCAAGATGACGTCTTCAAATGTCTCATTTTGTCGAACCAACAGTCCGAAACCTTCAGTTTACTACCACAGCAGACAAAGAAAACCAGCAAATATGACTTAACCAATATATTAATTATCAAAAAAAGAAAACAGGAAATCTGTATGAGGCAAACACCGTCTTAAAGGGGACCAACCTGTCCAGGACTGACCCACTTCCTGACCCAGTAAAATACAGGGACAGACCTGGAGTTTATTTGGTGCAGAGCTGGACATAAACAGTAACAACCGCATGTGAATATTTAACCCCTGTCTGTCTGCTGACCTAAAAGCTGTGATTCGTGGTCGCTAAAGTTAAAGAAACGTTTGTTTAAATGTGGTTTCAACCATAGTGACCATCTGTGGAACGCATTAGACCACTGACTGATGGTCTTACTTTGTTCTCACTACTACCAGTGATCTGAAGAGGTGACCGATGGATCAGTGTGTGGGTAAACGTACGTCATTTGTCTGCTCCTCTTTGGCGTCGGCAGGCGGAGCTCCTCGCAGCACTTTCACCACGTACAGAGATGCACTGCAAGGACAGTTGAACATCAGCGAGATACAAACAGAATCATGGAGAGTTTCTACACCTGCAGACAAGTGAGCGAACTCAACCCGCTCATCAAGATGCAGCTGAAAGCTCAGGACGAGTGAAATAAGGTCTGTGGGTAACGCAGAGATTTTCACATTTAGTTCTAACACATCATACGTGGCATTAAATACCTGTGAGTTTACAGCAGAGACTCACCTGTGTGTTTACTTACAAACTATTCAAACTCAAACGTTCCAACTTGTAGATTTTAATTCAAGATTTAAAGTTGGAAGTTTAGTGTTGGTGAAGTCAGTTTGTCTATAGCCTAACGTTAGCTTTTTAGTTCTGGCGATCGCACTTACGCTTCAAAAATCATAAAAATGGATGAACAAAACCTGAAAGTATCATAAACCTTTGTTCTCCACAGACTTTATTTTATTCAATAATCCAAACTCCAACAGAAAAATCCCATTGGCTCTCTGTTGAGAACCAGGGCGATGCTCTATTGCACTTTAAAGTCAGTTTCGCAGCCCTCTCGCTCAATATTGGACCAGTTTCATAAAATAAACATAAATAAACAAATATTGGAATAGAGGGTCCAGAATTTTTTTTTTTTCTGAATAAATGATCTATTTTCCACTTATGGAATAAACATAATCAGTTCTGCTTTGGTCAGATATTTGCACATATTGTGGTGCGTGAGAGAGTTCCCTGTTGGTTCCGGTCCTTGAACAGTAAGCTGTACCTGAAGTAGTAGAGGCAGACTGCGGAGTCGGACAGTTTCTGGGTTTTAGTCATCAGTTTCTCCAGCAGGTCATGGAGCTCCCCCTGTCTGTCACCGACGGTCCTGCAGTAAACCTTCGACCTGCACAGCTGGTTCCTGAAAACACACACACACAAACAGGGAACACACACATTCAGTCAAATTCAGCCTTTCACCATCCGACCCAAAAGACCTGCAACCAGAACCAGATCCTGTTGGAAGATCTGTGTCACGTTGGGCCTCGTTCCTTGTAAGACAGTCTCTCTTGGTGTGTGTGTGTGTGTGTGTGTGTGTGTGTGTCGGACCGTACCTGAAGATATCTGCAGCTCTGCGGAGGAAGTCCTGCTCCTGCTGGTGGCTGTCGGAGCTCATTCCTCTGTCGATGATGGTGAGCAGAGGCTCCACCAGACCCAGAACCAGAGGACTGCCCGCCTGCCGGGCCACGAACACCTCGACCAGGTCCAACACCTACAGCACGAGGAAAAAGGAGTGAGACAGTCTTCCTTTCTGACTCCTTTAACAGACGACACTCTGTGGATCCGGTACCTTGATCTTAAAGTCCCGGACCAGCGTCTTCTCCTTCTGCAGTTTGGCCTTTTCGTCCTTCTTGGCCTGACTCTTCTTCTTCTGCTCTGAGAACAGTGCTGCCAGGCCCTTATCCAGCTCCATCATGGCTTCATCATCCAGGTCTTCATCATCGCTGCCGTCCTCCTCAGTGGCCTGAACACGGTACACAACAACAGAGGACTTTAAAGAGCAACTCAACCCCTCGAATATGAGTTTCTCCCTTTTATCTGTGGAGTATTTCATTAAAATACCATTTTATATTTTAAACCCACCAGAGCGTTCTGCTGCTGCAGGACCTTCATCAGCTCCAGACGGAAACTCTGGTCCACCTCTCCCACCTCTTCCTCCTCCATTGCTTCATCATCTTCGTCATCATCATCCTCATTATCTTCATCCTCGTCAGAGTCATCGTCAGATCCGTCAGACTCCTGGCAGAACCAAACAATTTCAGTGTCAAATCTTTCTTCTAAAACAAAACAGACGATGTATTTATTGATCAGTGAATAAAAGGATCAATCAGATAGAAAACGATAAGAACTGACCTCCATCTCTTCATCGTGATCCTCATCATCTTCCTCATCTGGTTTCTTCTGGGTTTTGTTGTCGTCAGTGACGACCACGGCGCTGTCCTCCTCGTCATCCTTCTCTGGGTCCAGGACCTACACAGACCCCCAAACCCCGAAACCCCATCGTTACACTCACATACAAAGCTTCCAGGGCAACACACGTCGCCCCAGTTGGGCTCATTATTAGGAGGGAATCTGTTCTGTGTCAACAATAACCTACAAAATGTGTGTGTGTGTGTGTTACTTACGTCTAAGATGGCGGTGAGGGCCGCCGCGGTAACGTGCGGGCAGATGGAGGAGAAGACCGTTCTGCAGACCTGTCTGATATGTCGGCTCGGCTGGGACAGCAGGGACAACAAGATGTCCACCATCACCTCCACCCACTCAGGCTCCTCCTCCTCCTCTGTGGCTGCACCAAACACACACACACACACACACACACACACACACACATTAAAGCAGTATTCAGCTGTTACTCTGGATGTGCCTTTTATCTGTGTCAAAAAGACCAGATCTCAGCTAGAGGACAACATCCTCGTCCCCTCTGTAAACCCACTTTGTGATTGAGATCAGTACAACTAAAGCCCGCGCAGTGCAACATTAAAAGGTGAAAGAAAGATGGCGGCAGCGTCGTAATCACCTTGTTTCTTCTTCGTCGTCTTCTTCTTCTTGGCCTTCTTCTCCTGAGCTTTGTCCACACAGCTCTGCAGGTCCTTCATGATGTCCAGCAGCTCCTCGGGGGCCTTCGTGGACAAATACAAGTTCAGAGTCAATGATTTATCTCCTTTCTATGCCAGTGTTTTAACTGTGTGTGAGCAGACTGAGAACGTGACCACCATGCAGTACCTTGAACAGGTGCATGCCGACCAACAGGAAGAGCTGCTGGAACGCGGTGCTCTCTGCATTTGGGCCTTTCTTCGCCTTCTTCTTCAGCTTTGAGACCGACTCCAGCATGCTGGAAGAACACAGGTAGAGCTATAAAACCACCTCCTTCAGTAGTAAAACAGATTCATTGGTGCAGGCGGTCGTATTTACACAATGACAATAAGTTAGTCCTATAAACCTGTAGAGATATTCACGGCTGCAATATTCTACCTCCATTAGCAGAAATTTAAGTAGTTCCTACCCGTCCCAGGCCTGTTTCTGCTCGGGGCTGAAGGGCTGGCTGCTCTGGACGTGTTTTGGCTGGTTAAGCAGGACTTGTGCGTACTGGACCAGGTGGTAGATCCACATGGTGCCGTCGGAGGTGACACCCAGCGGGCGCTTCTGGTTGACCGCGGCGCCTTCGGCCGTGTCCTCGATCAGAGGCAGGTGGTGCATGGACAGGAGGAGTCTGCAGGGAGGACAGACAGGCGATCAGTGACGCAGCAGAGACCACAAACAGGGTCCCAGTCTGGCTCAGATTTACATTTTAATGTCAGATGGGTTAAAACAAACTCTGGTCTGTTTGTTTGGGCTGGTGTGAATGTCGTGTTGTTTCCTCACATACTCTTTATTTAGGTGTATTTAAGTATCGTGGAAGCTTTGAATATTTGAAGGTCATTCTCACTGCAGCTACAGAGCCCAAATATACGGTATTAAGGGACCGAGAGAGCTACAGGAGCTTCCCTTTGTGTATCCTGGAGCTTGGCAGCAGTATTCACAGAGATGAAATATCCTGGTTTAAAATCATCAAAAATTAAAAAGCATGCTAACCAGCTATCTGTGTAATCCTGACCAGCCTCTGTCAGCTTTAAACAGCTGAGAGGAGTAAACCGCGCTGGCTGTGATCACAGATTCTCACCCAAAGAAAGAATTGACGAGCACTCCTCTGGTTTTGTCGTCCAGCGGGACAGAAAGCTTCCCCGCCGTCTCCGGGATGTCGGCCGACGCCTTCTTGGCACTGAAGAAAGCGTGGAAAAACACGAACCTGGAACAGAAACAACACCAGCTGACGGCCGTCTCCTTCATCAAACACAGAGACCTCGACATCGCTCTGCTACAGGCGGGTCTCACCTGGCCACGTCCAAGATCAGATCCTCCTGCCTCTTCACCTGGTGGTTGTCAATGATCGACGAGAGCCGAGCGATAATCCACTTCCTCAGCCGGAATATGGCGTTCTCTTTCCTGAGGAAGAACAATCGACAGTTAGACTTCCGTCCCTCGTCTTCCTGTTCAGAGCTACCAGAGATCTTCACGCGGATAAACACACAAACAGGCGTGTCCACTCACTGTTCCCGTCCTTCCGGATTGTCCTTCTGCTTGCGGGTGCTGAAGTCCAGCAGCTGGTCCGTCTGAGGCTGCAGGAACATCTTCTTCAGCCAGTCCACGTACTGCTGCAGCGCTGCGGGCTGCAGGTGCTGCACCACCCTCCACACCGACGGCACCACGGGGTAGCCCTGGTTGGTCAGCGAGGAGAAGCCCACCATCACCGCCAGCTGTCTGTCGGGGTCCTGGCAGCCCTCCAAGAAGTCCGACACGTAGACGTCCATCTCTGGGGCCAGCTTGAAGCGGTCCGGTTTCTGGGAGAGAAAAATGATACATGAGACTCGTATTAATGTCCTTTAATAAAGGTTTAAAGTGATATCCTGCTCACCTTTCTGCTGTTCTCTTCATCAATATTACGCTTCTGTCAACAAATTTCAACATTTCCTGATATTTCTTCACATTAAAAGTCTACCTATAGGGAACGCTGCAAGACTTTTAATGTTGTGTGTAATGTAAAGTTTGTTCGACATAGACCGCTATCAATAACATAAATAACCATTATATAATGAACAAGGCGGGGCCACTGACCTGAGCAGACACCACGTGTTCCCCGTAGTGCATCATCACATCTCCAGACAACACCTCCTTCAGCTGGGCCACAGACAGGAGAGGCAGCGCACTGCCCAGCAGACGGAAGCTCAGGTAGCTGCACACAGACAGACAAACAGAAAGTATTTAACTGGAACTACGACTGGACAATATATTATATACTGGTGTGTGATCTGATGTTAAACAGTGGAAAGTGTATCGTTTTCTTTCTGTACACTAGGTGTTTTTTTACGATTATCTGTGAGATAAAATTTGCATTTTAGTCTCTGGAGTCTGGTGGAGAGTGATAGTGATATTACGGCTGTTTGTGGTTAAACTAAAGGTCTATCTCTTTAGGGATCCTTTCCATAATGCTGTCAGACACTGACAATAACAACCTGAGTCTGTCAGTGGACGCACTTTGACGGTCTCAAGGATTACTCACTGTGCTGGCCCCGGCTGCTCCTTCAACATGCCGTTGATGATGGCGTTGTTCCAGAAGAGCTGGAAGCTGTCTTCCTTCAGAGAGAGCTTCAGGAGGTCCAGGACCACCGCTGGGAGGACGCACTCCTTCTTCACCGAGCGGGCCGCCATCTTCAACACCTCCGTCAGCCTGTGGGACAACATCACAGATTACAGCAGCCGTTAATGAGGGAGCTAACATCAGCTAACATCAGCACAATGTGGTTAAAGGGAACCCAGAAACCAATCCATCCAACCACGGCGTTCATACTTGGGGATGTTGTCGGCGTTGATGATGGTCGAACAGCCCAGCAGCTTCTTGAGTTTCTTTGGTTTGAGGGTTTGTGGGAAGCGTTGCAGCGCGACCAGCAGCAGCTGCAGCTGCTCTGGAGTCCTGAAGGCTGATGCCAGGTCAGCCTGCAGGGCGCTGAACAGGACCTCCTCAAACACCTCCTCTGGGATCTGACGGACAGCACGTACATGTTAGTGTATGTGTTATGGTTCTAAACGTTTGCTCCTGTGTTTTTAAAAAGGTGTGTAACTGAGCAGCAGTGGTCACCTCAGTCAGGATGTCCATCATGGTCTTCGTGGGAAGGTCCTTCAGGTGTTGTCTCTGCTGGCTGAGGCTCTGGAGGAGCTGCACACACCCCAACACCACCTGCGGCTCCTGCAGAGACACGAGACAAAGCTCAGAGACCGTAACACCACTGCAGCTCACACACACACACACTAGAGCTCAGCTGTAGTTTCACACACACCATTAATCACACAATTATACCAGACTACAAAACCTGCTGGGGGAGCTCGGAGGCAGAAATCAGCTTCCAGGCTCACATTAACCCCCAAAATCAGGCTGTTTGAGCTCTACTGAAGCTTCCTTCTATGCAATCGACACAGACTCCAACCTCAGAAACACAGTGTCTGAGTAACATCACACATTTACTGGACAAAAAGAGCTTTAAAGTAAACTCCATGACGGACATACAGGAGGAAAATACTGAAGAAAGAAGGAGAAATTATAATTTTGTCCCCCATTTTGTAGATTTAGCTCTTCTATAACAGTCACACTCACAGTTTAATTGACAAAGTACCATACAGATATCCTATCCTTCCTTGTCAAAACCTGGCGCCTACATTACCCACAATGCAACCTAGGCTGTAGCCAGTTTGTTTTAATCCCTTTAAAAACGATAAAATCTTGGCGAGACTACTTACTTTAGAGAGGCGTCCGGACTGATAAAGGGCGAGGACGCCGAACAAGTTTCCGAAGAAAGCATTTCTGAGCAGTTTCTGGAAGAGAGAGAGAAACCGTTCACAGAAAAGTTTTAAAGTTCTTCAAACTTCTGGAGCCGACGGAGAGAAAGACACTCACCTTCTTCACCGTCTGCGGGTTGTGCTTCTCTCTGACTCTGTTGAGTACGCTCTGCAAAGAGACGTCTTCAAAGGAACTCAACACCTGAAAAACAAAAACTTCAGTCACGATGGAGCCGATGTATTTGAGAGGTGCAGCTTCTACAGTGAGATCCAGCAGTGCACAGACTCTGAGACTGGACTTCACAGCGGAGGAGGAGGAGGCATCTTGTGTAGTAGATTACTTTTTAAGGGTTTTAATGTGGGAAATTATACTTTTATTGAGGAAAAACACACATTAGAGACACATTATGGTTCCAAGCAGACTTATAAGCAGCTTATAAATGTGACATAATATTAACATTTCTATGGGAACAGGTCCTTTTAGAGACGTATTATTTATTCATGGTCACTCTCAGGCACACTGAACCTTACTGGTGGCACTTTAAACATTTAAAACAACACTTTATGTTTACTTGTCGTTTGTCGTCTGTCCGGTTATGTGTTGTTATTTTGATTTGATCTGATCTGAATTGTCCTTATTCCATCAAACTGGATTCCAGCTAATTCAGTGACATCTAAGTAATGTATTAATAGATAGATAGATATACTTTATTGATCCCAAGCTGGGAAACTGCGGTTAGTAACTGTGAATTAACATTAATCCACTCATTTTGGGACATACGCTCATTCACTGCTCATATTGTCGACGGCTGTAATGTGATTGTGTGTCTTTGGGCTCCACTCACCTGACCCAGAGCCAGGCTGAACCCGGGTCTGGCAGCCTCTCGTGTGTGAGCCAGTCCATCCACCAGCCGCTTAAAGGTGTAGTCCAACTCGTCTGCCTGCAGGACACAGAGAGAGAGAGAGAGAGAGCGCCACCACATGAGCGACTGTAGGTACTGCAGGGACTGTAAAGCCTCTTCTCACACTTTATTATAAACTTATAAACTTTAACAGTTCAGACTCCCAAGTTTTAATAAACCAACATGTTGTACTCTAGTTACATTTTACTTTGAGTATTTCCATTTCAGAATAAAACATCTGTTTGTATCTTGTATTTTGGTGCATAACAATAAACACTTTGTACGTAAATATAAAATATAAAAAAGGTTTAATATGTAAAATATATGTCACATATATCTGTTAATAGAAAAAGAGCTGTACAGTTTAATGCTACTTCATAATTACAGAGGGAAATATTGAACTTTATATACTTTATCATGTGTAAGTGTTTTTATTTCACAGCTGTAGTTACACACACACACATATATATATAAACATAACAACAGTTAAAAATATACAAATTAAAGCCTAAAATACCCATAAATAATATATGATAACAACAATAATACTAGTAAAATATGAGACATTAAACAGCGTGCTAGAAGTGATTTAAAAGACGTCATTAACTGCAGTTATAGATAATATTAAAGATTAAAGTAATAATATTATATATATTATAATATTAAAGATTAAAGTAATAATATTATATATATTATAATATTAAAGATTAAAGTAATAATATTATATTATAATATTAAAGATTAAAGTAATAATATTATATTATAATATTAAAGATTAAAGTAATAATATTATATTATAATATTAAAGATTAAAGTAATAATATTATATATATTATAATATTAAAGATTAAAGTAATGTTTTATTATAATTTATAATGTTTAATAACAATAATAATGACACTAATATTTAATATAAAACCCTAAAAACATAATAAATACTTTTAATTTAAGAGAATTTGGGTGTTTAATGAACTTTACGTTGTGTTATTAAGTAAAAGTAACTTAATTAAGTAACTGATTACTATAATTTATTGATCAGAGTATTCTAATCAATAGAGAACTGTAATCAATAGATAGAGTACTGTAATCAATAAGTTCTGATTAGTGGACCTCCAGGATCCCTCCACGCTGCCGTGGTCCGGCTCACCTGGTTGTGGGTCTTCAGGTACCGGATCAGCTCTCCCACCGCCTTCAGCCGAACCTCCTGATCCGGTTTGGCCAAGTCCCAGAAGAAGTCGAGGAAGACTCGGTTCTGCTGCAGGACGCCGGTGGTCCGGACCGGTTCCGGTGCTTTCACTGAGACCTCCACCATCTCTCCCGACATCCTCTCTGGTCCTCTCTGGTCCTCAGCGGCGCGCTCCGGCCATGCTGCAGGAACACGTGTCTCACTGCGCACACAGTACTTCCGGGTCACTTCCGCAACTTTTCGTCACTTCAAAACAAAACAAAACTTTATTGAACAAATTTAACAAAAGAAAACAACAAATAAACATCAGAGACAGTCTAATAATAACAACAACAACAACAACAACAAAAAAAAAATAAAAAAACAACAACAACAATAATAATAATATATAATAAATAATAATAATAATATATATAATAATAAAAACAATAATAATATAAAAAAAAAAAAAAAAAATAATATATAATAACAACAATAATAATAATAATATGACAATAATTATATATAATAAATAATAATAAAATAATAATAATATATAATAAATAATAATATATATTTAATAATAATAACAACAATAGTAATAATAATAATAATAATACATAATATATAATTTAAAAAAAATACAATAATAACAACAATAGTAATAATAAAACAATAACGATAATAACATAATAATAATATTAAAATAATAATAATAATAATAAAACAATAATAATAATAATAATAGTGTGTTTATATGTTACTGCTTTGCGTGCTTGTAAATATAATTATTTTTATAACCTTTAAAATACAAAACATATAATTATTAGTTAAATTAAATATAAATAAAAATAATTAATCCCAAAATACAATAATATGAATTATTTCTTTCTTTAGTGCTACTTTTATATACCGTAGTTCATTTATTGTTATTATACTATTTAATTGTTTTATCTTATTACTGTTATTAGCACACTCAGGGATCATCATTCAGAGCATTATTAGTGCTAATTATTAATATTTATTAATTACACTGCTGTTATATACTGTAGTCTACATATTTTGCATGTCTTATTTTCTATATATTGTTATATATTGTAATATCATGCACATATATTTTAATAAATCCAGTCCCTGTATGGAGGGTTTACACTGCACACTGATTATTCCTATAGAACCTCCAACAGGTCAAAGCTTCACTGTCTAACTTAGTGACATATTTTATGGATATTTCATATTATATTCAATGTGGAACAATAACAGGAGAGAACAGCTGTTTATCTGTACAATGAATCCAAACAGTGAACTCACTATGGATGAATGTGTCCTGTGAATATTGATCAGAGACGAGTTTTCCTGATTATTTAAGGAATTGTTTATACAATTCTGTCTGTATTTTGTATTTTTATTTTTTTAATAGTCACATTTTTTTTTGACAAATTCAGTGTTTTCTTCTCGTGGTTGAAGCTCTGTGAATATATCTTGTCTTTATATCTTAGATAATAATCTAAACCTTAAAAAGAATTACATTTTTCTTCACAGAAGAGATTAAATGCAGATATAGGCCTACTGTGTGTACTACCTGTACTATACAGGTACTACTCAGAAAATTAGAATATCGTGTAAAAGTTGTTTTATTCAGGCAATTCAACATAAAAGGTGAAACCAATACATTCTATAGACTCATTACATGCAAAGTGAGATATCTCAAGCATTTCTTTGTTGTAATTTTGCTGATTATGATTTACAGCTTATTAAAACCTCAAAACCAAAAACTCAGAAAATTAGAATACTGTGAAAAGCTTCAGTATTGTAGGCTCAAAGTGTCACACACTAATCAGCTTAGTAATCCAAAACACCTGCAAAAGGGTCCTGAGCCTTTAAAAAGTCTGTTTGGTGTGTCTTGTTTGGTTTAGAAGAATTCACAATCATGGGGAAGACTGCTGATCTCACAGTTGTGCAGAAAACCATCATTGACTCCCTGCACAAGGTGGGTAAGACACAAAAAGTCATAGCAAAAGAAGCTGGGTGTTCTCAGAGTGCTGTCTCAAAGCACATTAATGGACAGTTAAGTGGAAGGCAGAAGTGTGGAAGAAAACGGTGTACAAGCCGGAGGGATGACCGCAGCCTGGAGAAGATGGTCAGGAAAGGGCCATTCAAAAGTGTGGGGGAACTTCATAAGGAGTGGACTCAGACTGGAGTTGCTGCTTCAAGAGAAACAACACGCAGGCGGATGCTGGATATGGGCTTCAAATGTCGAATTCCTGTTGTCAAGCCGCTCCTCACAAGCAAGCAAGGTCAGAGGCGCCTTAGCTGGGCTAGAGAGAAGACACTGTTGGCCAGTGGTCCAAAGTCCTCTTTTCTGATGAGAGCAAGTTTTGCATCTCATTTGGCAACAAAGGTCTCAGAGTCTGGAGGAAGACCGGAGAGGCGCAAAATGGAAGATGCATGAAGTCCAGTGTTAAGTTTCCCCAGTCTGTGATGACTTGGGGATCCATATCAGCTGCTGGTGTTGGTCCTCTGTGCTTTATCAAGTCCAGCATAAACGCAGCTGTCTACCAGGACATTTTAGAGCACTTCATGCTTGCTTCAGTGGACCAGCTTTATGGGGATGCGGACTTCATCTTCCATCAGGACTTGGCACCTGCCCACACTGCCAAAAGTACAAAATCCTGGTTCAACAACCATGGGATTACGGTGCTTGACTGGCCCGCAAACTCACCTGACCTGAACCCCATAGAAAATCTGTGGGGCATTGCCAAGAGAAAGCTGAACGGGAAGAGACCAAACAATAAAGAAGAGCTCAAGGCCGCGATTGAAGCATGTTGGTCTTCCATAACACCTGAGATATGCCACAAGATGGTAGCATCCATGCCACGCCGGATTAAGGCAGTCATTCGTGCAAAAGGGGCCCCAACCAAGTGCTAAGTACAGATGCAAGATTTAACATTCAGAGGCCTGACATTTTTGTATTTAAAATCCTTTTTTTTATTGATTTCAAGCAGTATTCTAATTTTCTGAGTTTTTGAATTTGAGGTTTTCTGAAGCTGAAAGTCCTAATCAGCAAAATCAAAACAAATAAAAGCTTGAAATATATTGATTTGCATACTATTTGTCTATATAATATGTACATTTCACCTTTAAAGTTGAGTTACAGAAATACATGCACTTTTTCAGGATATTCTAATTTTCCGAGTAGTACCTGTATAATAAGTGGTCTGAAAAGAGCAAAGAAACCATCCTGTAAGGTCACATATTGTCACACAAACATCATCAGTGCGTGTAAAGAACTGTATCCTCAACATTTTAACAGTCATGTTTTAAGCTGCTTGAGAAAAATAAAGTGAATTTAGACTTAAATTTTCCCTCCAGGCATGTTTAAGACATTCAATAAACACTCTTTGAATAACAATAATAATAATAATAATGTGTCTGGTGTTTTTTTTCCCACAAAAAAGTTTAATTACCTCGTTAGAAATTCTTATAATTACATCAACTCCTTCTCTTTCATTGAAAAATCCAGAATCTGTGCAAATATTTTTAGTTTCAAAAGTTGAACAGCTGTAAACAACACGAGCACTGGAGGCTTCAGGTGGCCACGTCACACACGTGTCAGTTGCATACTGGGTCACAACGGGCTTCCAGACGAGCTGCTGCGGATTCACAAATCTGTACGTCAGATTTACACTGAGCAACAGAAACCTTCCACTCTCAGCACAGGAATGTGAGAACAAACTGCTGGTACATCATCCTGCACAGTGAAGCTCAAACAAACCGCACCAACAAGAAGATACACACACGTTTGCGTGGAGGTTGACTTTAAACTGAAGCTGCAGAAGGCAAATAGATATAAAAACACACACATCAGATCACACAGGAGACATCATCGGACAGGAAAGATCTGAACTCAAACCGCTTTTATCTTTGCATAAAAAGATATTCTTTATTAAAACCGCATGCATTCCATTACTCCCTGCCCAGAGAGAGAGCGCTGAGGTTGAAAAAGGAAGCGGTCAGACAGGAAACAGTCGTACAGTCGTTTAGTCGATGGGCGCAGCCAGCACAGTGTCCAAGGCGCTCTGAGCCTCTTTGATCTGCTGCTGCAGTCTCTGCTTCATGGCCTCGTTCTGGGCCTTCTTCAGCATGTCCTGCATGTCCCTGATGGCGGCCCGGTAGCCCGGGGCGTTGTGAAACACTCGGATGGCCTTGTCGCCGCAGCACGCCAAGAATCGCCCGTTAACATCAAATCTAAGGTCGTCGATCTTCCCGCTGTGGACGCCGTGCAGCTCCTCCTCCAGCTCGCCGCTGGCAGCGCTGTACATCGCCACGTTAGAGCCGTCACTGACCGCCACCACGCGGCCGTCCGGGGACAGAGCCACCCGGCTGCCTTCGGAGGACGCGCAGGGGACGGTCTTCAGGAGGTACGGGTCCTGCTGCTTCTTGTACTCCACATCTGTATTCCACAGCTTCCACGTGCCGTCTTTGGAGACAGTCACCATTCTGATGAAGGAAATCAAACATTCACATTAAACAAGAGACGCTGGGGACAAAGATTCTCTCAAACAGCCGACCAGCACCAAGTAAAACCTCTGGGGATAAAAAATGTGCACAGAAAAAGCACATTTCTCTGATAAATGATTATTTATCTTCTAATTTTGTTTATTAAAAACTACTAAAAATGTTTTGAACCTGCGTAGAACTCTTGTTATTAGTATTAACTTCTCCCAATGCAAACAAACAAACAGCCTAATCTTCAGTCCCTAAATGACTCCAGAGCTGCTCTGGTCACTGTGGTCATTGCTTTATGCTAAGCTTTAGTATACAGACATCTGTGGTATCAATCTTCTCAGTTAACTAAAGTTCAGTTCTGGAGCTGCAATGAGGAGTTGTCAACAATCAAATGAAGTCACCGACCATTTTAATAAATCGATTAATCATTCGAGTCATTTATGAAGAAAAAAAAATGGCCAAATTCTCTGATCAGCTCTCAAATGTGAACATTTTCTGGTTTCTTTAGTCCTCTATGACAGTAAACTGAATACCATCAGGTTGAGGACAAAGTAAGGACATTTGAGGACGTCGCCTTGAGGTTTGAGAAACAGTGACTAATTGATCAAGAAAATGATTGATTGATAATAAAACCACGGTTAGTCGCAGCCCTGGCGTGAACCGTCTCTCCGCAGCGGGATCAGAAACGCCTCCATTACCTGTGAGAGTCGTTGGAGAAGCCGAACGCGTGAACTCCTGCAGAGTGGCCCTTCAGGTCGAAAGCTCTCGCCACCTCTCTGAACTCTCCTCCCTTCCCGAAGCAAACCTCCCACACCTTCACGTCAGGAGTGAAACCGCACGACGCTACGAACCTGAGCACAAAGACGGAGGGCACAAACAGTTACACCTCCACCTTCCTCACACAAAACACCTGGAAAATAAGTCCTGAAGTGTCCTATAGAGTAACTAAGCTCTTATTTGGCAGAATAATACTTCATCAGGTATTAAAGGAGAGAAAAATAAAAGTAACTAAAGTAGAATGAGTTTGTATTTTCCATTTTACGTTACGTATTGAGTCATTTCTGTGTGTTTTCGCCGCCCTTTCAAGTGAAGAGATCTACATTTGGTCTTCTAAGAGGAAGGATTGCAGTGACGGAGGGGGGGGGGGGGGGGGGGGGGGACTGACCTGCCACATGGGGAGATGGCAGCGTATGAATTGGTAATCTGGTTAGTGTTGATAGAGGCCAGTACCTCTCCTTTCAGGTCCCAGATGTGGATGCTGGTGTCGGTGGAGGCGCTCATGATGAACTTGCCTGCGGAGGGGAAACAACAATCAGTGATTTTAAAGACCGCGGGAGTCCTGGAGAGAAGAGACGTCTCCTCTTGCATATAAACCAAAAACTACATTGACTTTAAGACGTGGTGTGTTCTGTACCGGTCTCTGCGATGCCGATGTTGAGGATGGGGGCTTTGTGTTTCTGAGGGAAGTCCTCAGGAGCAGCTTTGAAGGTTAAAGTGCCGTCCTCCTTTTTGATCATTTTGAAGATTCGGATCGTGTCTCCGTTGGCCAACCAGGTGATAAACGCCCTGCAGGGAAAAGGTGAGAGTCAGTGAGGGAGGGGGTGAGATCATAGAGGTGCCTGAATCCTAAAATGTACCACAGAGACACAGACCTCTGCTCCGGTTACGTACTGTACGTTACAGGTGAGTCTGACGTTAAAGTCGTACCTGGAGTCCGGGCTGAAGCGGACTAACGTGGCGTGATCCAGCTCCACATTGGCCCTCAGGCACTTGTGTTCCCGCTCCAGGAAGTCTTTGGTGCTCCAGATCCGGACGGTGCGGTCGTCGGCGCATGACGCCAGGTACTTCCCGTTACTGCTAAAATCAAGGCACGTCACGTTCCCGCTGTGGCTCTGAAACGTACACACACACACACACACACACACACACACATTAATTAGAGCTTTAAAGCCTACAAACTGATCACAAATACCCTCAGCTGCCACTTTATTGGGTCCATCCAGCTCAAACTCAAAGGGTTTAATGTTGTTAACATTGTTTTAAAGAGGTAGAATCAAATGAATGTTCATTTAGGTTGAATTATACATTATACAGAGAAGTTTCTAGTATTTTAAAATAGAGAAACTAAACAGAAACAGGGCCCTCTAAGACCTCTACAGACATGTCCTTTAACAACCTCCTGGTTTACCTTCAGTGAGGCTGCCAGCAGCGGGTGGCTGAAGGTGTGCTGTGCAGCTTTGTCCTTACGGAGGCGCTGCTTCTCCTGCTTCGGTTTCTTGGAGGCCGGGCCTTTCACGGCACTGCTTTCAGCTGAGAGACGACACACAGACGCACATTTTCTATCATTAACGGACTGTATCTTATTCATATTCATATTATATTCGATGCAGGACAATACGAGCAGAGCACAGCTGATGAAGGGTGAATATTTAACACAGTACCTGCAGGAGGTTTGGGTGAGAGCAGAAGGGTTTGGGGCATTGTGAGAAGATTATTTGAGTTTTCCTGATATTTTTTAAACTTTTTATACAATTCTCCGTCTGTATTATCCGGTTCCCTCTCGTTTTTACTAAATCAGTTTCCAGGAGTTTTCTGGACAACACAGAATAATATATATATATATATAAATAATATCCCGGTACACCTTCATCTTCTCGCTGATGAAGAATAAAAAGAAGAAGCAGAAAATGTTTGTGACAAATGTAAATGATCTCTGTGGATTTATTGATTGGTTACAACAAGAACTCAAACTGCAGTTATTGGGGATCAATGTACAGTTTATCAGCTGTTATTGATACGCATGTGTGTGTGTGAGCAGTGTGTGTGTGTGTGTGTGTTGAGTACTGTGTGTGTGTGTGTGTGTGTGTACACTGTGTGTGTGTGTGTGTGTGTCTCTGTCTGTGTGTGTGTGTGTGTGTGTGTGTGTGTGTGTGTGTGTGTGTGTTACACTGTGTGTGTCTGTGTGTGTGTGTCTCTGTGTGTGTGTGTGTGCTCTCTGTGTGTGTGTGTGTCTCAGTGTGTGTGTGTGTGTGTCTGTCTGTGTGTGTGTGTGTGTGTCTGTGTGTGTGTCTGTGTGTGTGTGTGTGTGTGTCTGTGTGTGTGTGTGTGTGTGTGTGTTGTGTGTGTGTGTCTGTCTGTGTGTGTGTGTCTGTGTGTGTTGTGTGTGTGTGTGTTACATTGATCCTTGTGTGACTCATTTCCGTTTACCTGTGTTACAGTTATCCTGACTTAACGTTAGCTCTGTTAGCTCTGTTAGCTCTGTTAGCTCCGTTAGCTCTGTTAGCTCCGTTAGCTCTGTTAGCTCCGTTAGCTCCGTTAGCTCCGCTCTTACCGGTAAATTCCGCCGTTAGTTCCGTTTCCTCTCGGATTTCTTCCTTCCGGCGACTCACCGCTACAGCCACCAGTATAACCAGCGCTCCCAGTAGCAGAGACAAGGCGACCAGTGCGGCTGCCTCCATATCGAAACGCTTTCTGCCACGTTACCTCGCTGCGCTAACGTCTACTTGGCTACTAGTCACCACTCACTGCGCATGCGTCCTAATCTTCTTCCACGTGTTTAACTGTGTAGTGGCGAACAGCGATAACCGCCATCACTGCCACCTACCGGACACCCGCTGATATTACACCCACCTGTTTGTTCAACGTTATGGATCAATTAAAGATTATAAAACAATTATTTAATTATGTAGATAAAACACATAAATAAATGCGTGTCTGTGAATAAACAAACAAGTAAATAAATTAAATAGATGAATAAATAAATACAAAAATAAATGTAAGATTTATGTACACTGTAAAACCTTTTGTTCTGTTTGAAGTTTATTAAAGATATAAAATATATTTTATTTGAGTAGAAGTATTTATTGCTATGGTAACTTGGGTAAATTGGACTAATTCTCATATGCAGTATTTCTCATTTAAAATGTGTGAACAGAATTAATCTGAATAAAGTCACTTGAATGCATCTTCTTTATACAAATGTTACCACTAAAGTTTACTTAGCTATAATTAGTTTTCTTCCACCAAAGCAAATTATTACCTCACCTGTCAAAGCAGCTGTCGTACGTTAAAAACTATTTATAATTAATTACCTTAATTATATCGACAGTAGCACACATTCACTCAAAACGATGAATGAGCGACTTAAACTTACGTTGACTTACTTCTTTTACTATTATCTTATTATTAGTGTATTCAATGTCTCAATTAATCTATTTGTGATTTATTTATGGTCTATTTATTTTGGCCTCAACCTGGTTAGGGCAGCACTATATGATAAAAACATCATATATTGATTATTTTGACAGATATTAGGATTGCAACACGATGCTCCATTAAGGGGAATAATCATTTTTGCATCACAAATTAAATTTTACTGAAAAAAACTATTAAAATCATCATGATTTTAAATACTTAACTAGCCCAGGGGTAGGCCACCTGCAGCTCCCTATAGAGTCATTTATCATTGTGAGAGTCTCAATCTTTTGTTAGCTGAAAAGGAAACAGGTAAACTAACATTAAAGAACTTTATAAGTCAGTAAACGTTTAAGATACAAATACAATTTACATGAGTTGAGTCCTAAAATAAAGACCACACATTCATTCTAACCAGGTTGAGTATCTAATGTGTTCAGACCCCCAAAAAAGTTACAAAACTAATTCTATTCAAAAACAGACTTTTATACTAAAAATCCCAGATTGCTTCTAGTTGTAAACTATCCTGACAAAGCAAAACACTTCTTATTACAGTATAACGTTAACATTAGCACGTAGGATCTACTATATATAACCTATACGCAGTGTGGAGTCGCGTGGTCTCGTGGGATAAAAGCAGAAGAACGAGGACCTCGAAGGGTTCAATGTGTTCTTGTTGGAGCGTCCAAACTTCGGTTTTTTATTAATTCCAAAAAATGAACCATCAAAAACTGCACCAGATACTCACTTTCCACAAGAAGAAGTGATTATTACTGAGAACAGAAATGATTCTGATAAAATAACTTCGACTGCCGACAATCAATGGTTTTGCTTGACAAACTCTTCGGTACAAAAACCCTGCAACATAGTGAGCATGTCTGTAATCCACAAGCAGAACGAGGGCCTTCAATGTGGTGCAACCTGTTGTAACAGCAGTACTTCAGAAGAAGGGGGGGGTAATGTGTTGCTGTGCAGATGTTTTAAAAACTCACTGTATTTATTTAAGGTACATCTGTCTGAACAGTAGCTGAAGGTAAAATCTAAAATCGACCTTTTTTTTTTTTTTTTTCTCAGTGAACACGGATTCAGTGCCTGCAAGTAAAGAGAGGTAGTCTGGCACAAACACACACACACACACACACACACACACACTCAGGATTTAAAGAGGAGATAAAAGATCGTAGATTCTTTTCACAGGCATGACATTGAAGGATTGGCTTTGGTTTGTCAGCACAAGTCAAGAGTAGTCACCCTAACCCAATACTGACCTGCTAATTACATCAGTGTTGGCAATCACTATTAAAAAAACAGAAAAAAAAAGACCCCAAAAAAAAGAAAAGGCCGTCCACAGGAGGACTCTGGGAATGCTTGCAACGACAAAGAGTATGAAACAAGAACACAAACAAAAGGTCTGCACTACCTACGTTAAGACATTTTACTAAGTTAAGTGCAGAAACACATCATTCATTTACAGGGTCAGAGAGCCAATTAAAAAAATAATTTAAAATGCAAACGTCTCATAACTTTACATTTACTGTGCATTCCCGCCCTTATTCAGACTCATTCAGATACTCGGTAACATACAAACCAGTGAGCGCTCCACGTAAAAAAATAAATGTCTGAGCCGAGGCTCCGTGTCTCTGCTCAACTTTCTCCTTAAGACGAACCGACGGGAGTGTCCACAGACTGGAAAGGAAAGAAAACTTTGGATATGCTTTTCGTTCACACTCAAACTATTCGACTGTCTTTTTCTTCCTCTTCAAGTAAAGTACGTCGCTATGGTCTCCTCGCGTGCTACATTCCCTGCCCGGGTCATGTAGTCGTCCAGGCAGCTGGTGTGCTCTTTCTAACTCCTCCGCAAACACAACAACGTTTTCGGGTGCCAGCGCGACCCACCGGAGGAGGGAGGAGGAGGAGGAGATGGGGAAGGAGGCAGAGGGCGTGGTGGTGGCGGCCTGGTTGGGGGGGGATGTTGGGCTTTAGAACAGAGCAATGTTAGCCAGATTAGCCATAGCAGCAACAGCTCAAGTCCTCTGAAAGCGGTGCTGGACACGTGTGGCAGGTTACTTCTTCCGGTTGTGTTGCCGTCGCGCCTGCAGCCTCTGGCGGGATGGCTTTGATCCGGCTCCGATGGAGAAGGAGGGCGTCGCTGGAGACCCTGAAAATAAACATTAATATTACTTTCACACAGAGTTAGGGAGATCTGCTTTAAGTTGACCTCATTAAGCTAAATAAACTACTTTTAACCTTTAATGTTATATTTCCTGCTACTTCAGAGCATCTCTGATGTTTTAATCTGCTTCTAACTCAGCACCACTGATGATGATGATGATGAGGGTTCTGCCTTTTCTATATATAATAAAATGATGATGAACATTTCTTTCCACTTATAACACCGTGTCCTTACTGCATGCGAGCGTCTGACTATCGGTTCATATCGATATACCGATCAGCTGTACTCTGGAGATCAGACTGGAGACGTAACCACTGCAGTAAAAGTTGGGTGAGTGCTTGATATGTTTGTACTTTTTAAACAGAAAACAGGCTTTATATTTTGATATTTAGAAACTTCCAGCTGGTGATCTCCCTCCAGCCAGCTGCCAAACTATTTAAGTTTTTGTAGTTAAATGAGGAGGTTTCCTTCAGAACAGCCTAATTTCTCAGATTGTTCTCAGCTTTGTTAGCCGTGCTATTCTTCATAAACTGGCCCACACAACTATATTTATTCTGAGCCCGGGGATCAGGTTCAAATGCTGCAGGGAGAAACACAAGCGAGAGACAAGTGAGCTTGGAGTCTGCTACCGCTGCTCATCAACGCCTTTGACCTCGCTGTGACACTCGCAGTGTGGCCTAAATAGTCTCGGCTGCTCAGCGGGGCTCAAGTATCACCGCTGCTGTCAGAAAACAGCGCCTACCGAAAGGAACAGCGTTGAAGCCTTGGACCGGAGTTCCAGGACTTCCAAAGGGAATTGGACCTGCAGCAGCACTCTGGCCGAAGGATGGGGTCGACGTCCCTGCAGAGAAAGCGGCACACGACTTTATTAAACCAAGCTTATTCTTGAAGCGCCACCAACATACCAGTCCAACCAAGAGGATGCTAACGTTCTATACAGCAAGGCCAATGAGATTTTTTTCATTTCTTACCAAAAGCTGGTTTGTCAGTAGCAGCAGCCCCAAAGTTGAAGCTTCCCATCTGCGGTGCAGGATTATTGGAGACCGGTGTTCCAAACTGGGGGCATGGCATACCAGCATTGAAGTTAAACCCACCGGGCGCTGGCTGAGCAGGGCCGGAGGGAGCCTGCTGAGGAGCAGCATTGCCAAACGAGAAGGTGGCTGAGGCGGAGCTCTGAGTCTGGGTTGCTGCACCGAAGCTCGGTGGGGCCGAGGGTGCGGCTGAGGGAGCGGTGGTGCCACCGAAAGCAAAACCAGTGGAGCTGGCTCCAAATGCTGGTTTAGCTGGGGTCCCGAAGCTGGCTGCCGTGGTGACAGCTGTCGCCCCGAAGGGGAAAGGGGGTGGGGCGGTGTTAGAGGCAGGTGCGGATGTCGCTCCTGCGCTTCCAAAGGTGAATGGTTTGGGCGCCGGTGCCGCAGAGGAACCGAAGGTCGACTGCGCTGCCGGTGCCGCAGAGGAACCGAAGGTCGACTGCGGTGCCGGTGCCGCCGAGGAGCCGAAGGTCGACTGCGTCGCCGGTGCCGCCGAGGAGCCGAAGGTCGACTGCGTCGCCGGTGCCGCCGAGGAGCCGAAGGTCGACTGCGTCGCCGGTGCCGCCGAGGAGCCGAAGGTCGACTGCGTCGACGGTGCCGCCGAGGAGCCGAAGGTCGACTGCACAGCCGCTGCCGCAGAGGAGCCGAAGGTCGACTGCACAGCCGCTGCCGCCGAGGAGCCGAAGGTCGACTGCGCAGCCGGTGCCGCCGAGGAGCCGAAGGTCGACTGCGCAGCCGGTGCCGCCGAGGAGCCGAAGGTCGACTGCGCAGCCGGTGCTTGAAATGACGACTTTCCGAAGGCGAAGGTGGACTGGGTGGTGGCGGCAGCAGTGGTGGAGGCGGTGCTGGCCATGGGAAAGCCTCCAAACGAAGCAGTGGTTGTGTTCTGGCTGGGTGCCGCTTGCCCGAAGGCGAATACCTTCTGGTTGGCAGCTTGGGGGTCCGGCTGCGTGGCACCAAACGAGAAGGTGCTGTTACTGGAGGTTGTGGTGGCAGCAGCAGCGGAGGCGGCTGCAGCTGCTGCAGTCGTGGTGGTAGCAGCAGCTCCAAACTGAAATGTGCTGCCTGTATTGGGGGCCTGCGCTGCGGGGGCTGAGCTGGTACTGGTTGTGGATGGTGCTGACCAGTTTCCGAACTGGGATTTCACAGCTGGCTGGGCTGCAGGCTGTGTGGTGGTGATGGAGCCGGTGGAGGAGGCTGTGTTGGTCATGCTCGGGAACACAGATGGAGCAACTGTGGTGCTGCTTGTTAATCCACCAAACATTGAGGCTGCACTGCTTGAAGACACTGTAGATGCGGGGTTGGTGCTTGTGTAAGCTGGAGGCGGTCCAAAGCCAGAAGCTACAGTGGTGCCTCCAAAGATGGGCTTGAAACTCTGGACAGGAGGTTTGCTCTCTGGGGTCGATGCAGCCGAGGAGGTGGTGGTAACGGAAAAGATGGGCTTGAACCCTGAAGCCAGCAGAGGGTTGGTGTTACTGATGGACGCCAAGCTGCTGGCCGCCAAGCTGCTGGCCGGGGCGGCGGCGGTAGCAGTGACCGGGTTGGAGGCAGAGGAAGCAATGGGGGTGCTGATCTGGCTCGCCAGTCCGAACAGTGTTGGTCCTGTTACAGGTGGAGTGCTGGAAGCCTTGGAGACCTGACCCAGAACCTGAGTGAAGGCAGAGGGCTGCTCCAGACCAGCGGAGGAGGACTGAGACTGGGAGGAAGGGGGGAGCTGCGGGGACATTGTAGTCGAAACCTTCAGGCTTAAGCCGCTGGGTTGTACCAGTGTGGTCGACGCAGACACTGCAGACACAACAACAAGAATGTCGATATGATTGATAAATGGATGGGACCACCGGGTTATAGTGCAGGGATGACTTCAGGTTCGGTGATCTTACCTGTAACTGTGTTGGCAGCAGATGTGGAGCTAGCGGGAACGTTGATCTTCATTTTCAGAGCCTCCAGCAGCGGGTTGGAGGCTGCAGGTGCTGTGCTGACGCTGCTGCCCGGGCTGGGATCCAGGTTGATGACTGGGATGGCGGAGCTGGAGACTGTGTGCAGAGGAGCTGCCAGAAGGCTGCTCAGGGTGGTGGTGGAGCTGGTAGAGGAGGCAGGCTGGGTGGAAGTGATGGCTGGGGGAGAGACCAACTTCTCTGGCTCTGGAGCTAAACAACGACAAATGAGCAGACGGGTCATAGGTACGTGTGAATGGACATTAAACAGTGTTAAGAACTAAACTGTCTATTCCTGTGGCTTCTTGTACTCACCAGGTGTCTCCAGGACCTTCTGGATCTTGCTGATGGCAGCCTTTTTCTCTTCGTCTAGGTCTTTCACAGTGATCGTGTAGCCCAGCTCTGGAGGGGGGGGCTGCAAATCAGGTTAAAACAGAGCAAAGTAAGTCTACGTAACACACGGCCGAGGGTTTCTGGGAGCTGACATGGTGGAACGCTCCTTACCAGGGAGATGTGATCGTCCCTGTGGCTCGACACCAGCTGGATCTTACGCTTCCTCTTCCCACCACTAGCAGTAGAGGCTGCTGAGGGAGTGACCGGGACC